CTATCATCTACCATGTATCCTCTCTCCCCCCATCCCCCTCTTTCTCATATCCATCCATCCAATTTATTTGCTGCCCATCTTTTAATGCAACAACTCTGGGCAACTTCCACTTGCAAACTACATCGCAACATCTATTAAAAAAAAACCCACTAACAAAAACAAATGAACTAATAGAGCCCAGATCAAATTCTTAGCTCCTTCCCATCCTCCACACCTTCCTCCAGTCCTACCAAGCAAGTCAAGGGAGCTTTGGTGATTGGACACCACCACGTAGGGCTCCTTGATGTTGAAGTTCTCTGTCCCCCGCACTTCAATCTTGATCCCATAGAGGTATTTTATGTGGAGCAACATGAATCGTAATACCCTGGAAGAGCAAGAAAGAGAGAAAGCATATCAAATTGGAACTAGACAACATTTAAGTGTGAATGCCTGCGGATACATCAACTTTTGGGAACATGGTGGTCCCTCCAAAGGCTCGGAGGCTGCCTTTCACCACCAACGTTTGGAGAACAGCAACTTCACCATATGCATGTTAGAAGAAGGATCTCCAAACTTTAGCTTTAAGTTTGTGGAAGCTGGAAGGGGAATTCTGGGAGTTGAAGTCCACAAGCCGTAAAGCTGCCAAGTTCAGAGACCCCTGAGCTAGAACACCGTGCCGAAAGCAAGCCTCAATGTTTTTCTAAAAGGAGGGAGGGAAATCATGCATCCCCCAAAGACATAATAGTTGCTTCCAGATGTTCCCACACCGAGCTTCACCAAGATTATTAGGCCAGGAAAAGCTGGCCTGGGAAAAGATTTGACCGGAAGACACAATTGTTTCAAAGGGCTGTTGCCTGAATTTAGATGTGATCGTCTTTTCCCCCATTTTTTATTGCTTACCGTATTTTTCAGAATATAAGACGCACCTTCTTCTCTCAAAAAAGAGGGTGAAAATCTGGGTGTGTCTTATACGCTGAATACAGTATTTTTGGCCTCACGAAACCCTGCCCCCTTTGCAAAAATGGATGTGCAGAGGATTTGGGAGGCTTGCAAAGTGCTCCTGGGGGCTGGGGGGGGGGGGCAAAAAAGAGAAAAAAACCAGGCCGTTTTTGCCCCCACCCAGCCTCCAGGAGCACTCTACAAGCCTCCCAAAGCTTCTGCATGCCCCTCCCTTTTGGGGGGGGGGGGAAAGGATGCATGCAGAGGGTTTGGGAGGCCTAAAACATGCAAAAACATTTTTTTTTATTTACCTCTTCAAAATCATGGTGCGTTTTATAATCTGAAAAATACGGCAATTTTGTCATGGGATGGGTTTTGGTTTTTTTTTGTTTGTTATTTCACCTTTGGTATTTTTATTTCTTTTCGCAAAGGTGCTGTTTCAAAAGGCAACTGGACTTTTGTTTTTGCTTTTCCCTGAAGACGTTTCACTTCTCATCCAAGAAGCTTTTACAGTTCAAGTTCAGTTCAAGCGTCTTTCTTTTCATGGAAAAAGCCAAGAAAGTCCAATTGCCTTTTGAAAAAGCGCCCCCTCCCCCTCTGTTGAGAGAGGACATGCCAAAACTGAACAGCCTTCTCTCAACAGAGGATGGGGGGGAGGGGATACGGCATTATCTATTTCCAGTCTATAACACAGTTCTTTCACCAGTTCCAAAAAGGCGCCACACCCATTTGTACACAGATAAGCCCTCCAGATAGTCTCAACAACTCGCTGAAAGGATGCAAATGACCAGCTGCCTGCAAGGAGTTTAATAATTCCATTCCCCACCATCCAGTCAAGAGCTGAAGAAGCTTCTTGGATGAGAAGCGAAACGTCTTTGAAGAAAATACAAGAAAGTTCAGTTGCCTCCTGAAAAAGCATCTTTGGAACAACAATGACCTGGATGACTGAGAATCTCCACACACACACACACACACACACACACGACAATGGATATTCAACATAGTTCTACTTTTATTCTAGTTAGGTCACCAAGAGTCATTTTGATCGCAATGGGGCAGAAATGTTTTAAAGAAAATAATAAGATATAATGTGGTTGGTTGGTTTGTGGCTTACCATGATACTATTTACAAATATAACATGTAAAATAAGCTTTGCAGCTGGCAGTGGCATGAACTCATCCCAACAGTGATTTATTCAAGAAACCAGAAGCCAGGAATGTAAAAAATCTAAACCAGAAGCTCCAACGCATAAAATACTATATTTTTCGGAGTATAAGATGCACCGGAGTATAAGACTCACAGTTTTTTGGGAGGAAAATAAAGGGGAGGGAGGGGAATTCTGCCTACCAGGTATTCATCTGGCTAGTCCTTAGCCTGGTTTTGAGATTGGGGATGGTGGGGACTGTGCTTCTAAAGCACAGCTGATTGTTGGAGGGAGCAGCAGTTAGAAAAGCAGGCAAAGCACGGAAGATCGCTTAGCTCGTGCCTGGGCTGAAAAACAGCTTCAAAAGCACAGCTGATCCTCCGAGGGAGCTCCATGACTAAAACAGGAAAAGAAGGGAAGGGGTAAAAAAAAGAAGGCAGCAGCTTCTTCTAGGTAGCCATTTTGGGCATCACGCATCGAGCATTAGGAGCAGGGGTGGGTTGCTCCCGTCATTACTGCCAGTTCACTGCGCACGCCATTTTACATACACAGGTGCTAAAAACTTTCGCAAAAACTGCATGCGCAGAACATTAAAAAAGGAGTAAAAAACATGGGGACCGGGGAACCGGTTCGGGGCGTTGCCATCCGGCCATCTCTACCAGTTCGGCGACCCAGTCACAATTTTCACTACTGGTTCATCCGAACCGGTGCGAACCGGTAGCAACCATCTGCTGAAAACGCAACGCGCGGAGGCCAAAAACACACGTGATTCTCAGTGGCAATCTCTGCAGCCAGGAAGAGGACGCGCAGAGGCTGAAGGGTAGGGGCCGGCGGGTGGGTGGGGCTACATTTGGAGTATAAGCCACACCCAAATTTTCAGCCTCTTTTAGGAGGGGGGAAAAGTGCATGTTATATTCCGAAAAATACAGTAGTCTTTCTGAAACAGGGCAAAGCAGAATCTCTCTTTCCCTTTCAAGCCTGTTCTTCTCCTCCTTTTTCCATTACCAGGAGACATTGGACGTCTCCTCTTAAAACAGATCCCCAGCTATAAAGAGGCTGCAAGGCCAGATACAGTCTCTTCCTTCCCCTTTGGATTCCACTCTCATGGAGCATCCTGTATGGGTCAGGATCCCATCCAAACCAGCCATTTGCAATCCATGACAGCAGTAGACAAGATGGGTTATAAACCAGCAAAGCCCGGTTTATTTATTTTTTTGGTCCTGCCCTGTCAACAGCAAGCGTACAGCAAAGGTTCCTCAACCAGGACCACTTTTAAGATGTGTGGACTTCAACTCCCAGTATTCCCCAGCAAGTCCGCACATGTTCAAAGTGATGGACAACCCCCGGTTTTCCCACATAGGATGAGGGGAGTTAAACTGCGTTTCCCGTTTTACACCAGCTACGTTAGCTGAAGATGGATGCTGTAACCCAATGCAGCAAAAAGGTGGATACACAGAAAGGGCAGCTGTTATCAGATATAGGCCTACTTCCGATGAAGGCTTTCTCCTGGCCCAAGAGGGATGGACCCAATAGCCCACACCTAAAACAGACTCACCTCATATTCTCCACGTCGCGCCCACGGACGGCACAGATCGGGATGGCAATGATAGCCAAGAAGAGGATGTAGCTGTTGTAGAACGCCATCTTACAGAAATATTTGAAGGTAGCACTCCATTCGTACAGAAGCGGGATGGCCACCAGGAAGAGGATAAGGAGCCACTGGCCCGGCGAGATCTCCATTTTCTCTGAAGAAAGGAACAGGAAGAAGCTGAGTTTACTTCTGATGCTTTCCTAGAAACCAGGAGTAAATAGAGCCTTGCAAACAATTTCGTTGACTCTCCCCCTAATCTTGTGCTGTTCAGAGGTGCCGGGAGGCCACATTGGCTGGAGACAACTGATAGCTGTAGCTCTTAATACACCTGGAGGGCACCTGACTGGAAAAGCTATACTTGCGATAGCTTCTGGAAGACCACGGAGAGATTCACTGATTCTTTCAAAAGGCAACTGGACTTTCTTGTTTTGTTTGAAGGCATTTCACTTCTTACCCAAGAAGCTTCTTCAGTTCTGACTGAATGGTGTGGAGAATGGAAGGTTTTATATTCCTTGCATTCGCCTGGTCGAATGGTGCAGGGGTATGAACGGATTTCCAGGCAAATGGCAGACTACGGATGCAGGTGACCCTGAGGGCACAGGTAAATCTCCAAAGGGCCTCAACGACTCTCAGAAAGAGAATTACCTGCCAGATTGACTGCAAGGAATATAAATCTTTCCCTTCTCCACCATTTCGTCAGAACTGAAGAAGCTTAGAATAGAATAACGGAGTTGGGAGGGATCTTAGAGGTCTTCTAGTCCATCCCCACTGCTCAAGCAGCAGACCCTAGTATATACCATTCCAGACAAGTGGCTGTCCAGTCTCTTTTTAAAAGCCTCTGGTGATGGAGCACCCACAACTTCTGAAAGCAAGCAGTTCCACTGATTAATTGTTTTGTCAGGAATAATACAATAGCAGAGTTGGAAGGGACCTTGGAGGTCTTCTAGTCCAACCCCCTGCCTAGGCAGGAAACCCTATACCACTTCAAACAAATGGCTATCCAACATCTTCTTAAAGACTTCCAGTGTTGGAGCATTCACAACTTCTGGAGGCAACTTCTGTTCCACTGATTAACTGTCAGGAAATTTCTCCTTGGTTCTAGGTTGCTTCTCTGATTTTTTTAAAAAAATATTATTTTAATTAAAAAAAAACACAAAAAAAGAATAATCTTTCGTTACATCTTGTAGAAAGCGTGTCGATTGGTTACAAATACATTTCATGCGTTTCTTCCACAATCATTACATATACTTCATTCAAATTGAATTGTACATTTTAAATAAAAAAAATATGTATTTTACTATCCATGTACCACA